TTTAAGGCTGAGATATGCTGGCACCAAACGGCTTTGATATTGTCCTATGGGCTTTACGACTTCCAGGTAATGCCTTGCAGACTCCACAATTCAACAGTCTCTTTTGAATGTTATGCGAACTGCTCTAAGTGGGCTAATCTTGAAACTTTTATAACACAGCTAGGGTGATATTCTTGCTTTTGATGAATATATTCAGGCGCACAATACAGATCTGAAACCAGTGTTGTCGTGTAGGATGTAGTTTTGACACTGACCCCGAAGAAATGGCAGATTCTACAAGGTACAATTAGCAAACTGTCTCATCGGATGGGATGGTGATTACTGAAGACCGCAAAAAGCATGTGAGAAACTGACCAATATCAATCAATCAGACGGAACTTTGTAGTTTTCTTATCTTGGCCATGAAAACGCAAGAAGTCGAAACGGTCTCTTCTGTTTTCTTCAATTGGTGGATTTATCAACACAAGGTTCCCGAAACGGTGTATAGTGATCAGGATGCCAATTTCGCAATCAAACTTTTTTGATTGTGTAAAATTTTCGGAATCCAAAAGCATTATCAGGTGGTTTGTCATTTGTTGTGAGCTCATATGTATGCATGCCAGTTACCTGGATAATATAGGAACGAACAGTCAAATAATCAGAGAATAAAGCCTTCAGGAATGATGTGGGTGAATCAACATGACGACATGGCGTGCGTGTACGAACATGCGGCTGGCTTGTGGAGGACGTCAGAGATTGAGCCGCGGTCGCTGAGTCGGCTTGGTCACACATTTCCTGTGTTGGATCGACCTTCGCCTCAAAGGAGGGAGGACAGGATGTTTAAATCACAAGTGAACTTGAGCTGGGACGATCAAGGGGGGGGGGGAGAATGATGGGGACGGTTTTCGCTTGTTCGTGAAAACAACCACTAAAATGAAACATCTGGGAATTCGAACGCAAACGTTTTTCTAAGGCTGCAAATATCGCCAGCACATATTTGCAAATTATCATGCTCAAAACAGTAATGCAGAGGCCTGGCTGTTCCCTGCATATGGACACCCACGACACCTGGTCATCCGCATGGTAAGGTAATAGACAGGTGGGAAGAGCGGATCACACTTTAACGGGACAGCTCAAGGCTTGTACTAAGGCTGCCCAACTACAGGATTTGGGATTTGGGCCCGGGACCGTGCCTTCTTGCATAGTGGCCTACAGCCCATGCACTCGCTAGTGATTCACGGCTCAAAATGATCACAGAATGCACCAACTGTTATTTTCCTATCAAATATGAAAGTATTAACCCATGAGGGTTTCAGAGTACGTATTAGGACCAAAAAGACAGAAGCGACAAATTTGAAACCTTGTACGTGAACACTTGTGTCCGTCATACATCAGACAAAAAACATGACAATTACAGCCAGTTTGGCGCCTACCATTCGGGGAAGACGATGCAGCTCTCTATGCCTATTGCGTCTCCAGGAATGCATCGCAAGTTCTGCCAGCCTTAAAGCAGAGCTGAATCTTGACTAATGAAGGTTATCTCGCCATCAAACTACCCGGTCTGCAATATGCAACTGCGTCGCGGTCCATTGCAATAACTTGCCCCGTTATAAAGTCACATCTACAATCGAACACTGGAATGAAATCTGCAGAAAAACTGAAGACTGACGCAAAGGGAGTAGCATATGGAGGTGTTGGCTCTAAGGGAAGAACTGCGGATGGTGCTCGAAAAGATGAGGGGCTATGCAGTGCATGATTGATAGAATTTGCCTTTTGGGTGGCAGGC